TCGACTGTGTAGTTCCGATAGACGGCGTTCCACAGTGACTTTATATCGACTGTGTAGTTCCAATAGACGGCCTTCCACGGTGACTTTATATCGACTGTGTAGTTCCGATAGACGGCCTTCCACCATGACTTTATATCGACTGTGTAGTTCCGATACACGGCCTTCCACAATGACTTTATATCGACTGTGGTTGTTTCGTGAATTACCTTCCAATTTAAAACTGATTTTTCAGATAGATGTTGTTCTTAATTTTTTTATAATAATTTATATTTCGTTTTCGGCAAAATTTCCACTAATTTTATGTATAAGACTGGTATATAGCGATTATATTTCAACTACTCGTGACTAGATGTATATCTACGTTCATGTTATTGCTTTCAGTAAATCACACTCCAACCGACATGATTTATGTAATGATGTGTGCGCGTGTGGGGGTCTTTGATAAACAAGGAATTTCTCGTACCTTGAAATCGTACTGTTCTTAAAAGAAAACAAGCATACAAACATGCTCAACTCCAGAAGTACGTTTTCTTTAGAAACAAAATTTTGTTATTCATTTCCAAGGAAATTATGTCCAAGTTCTTAAGATACTAATAAAATTTCTAGTCTTGCAATGCCAACAGGAAAACCTCAACCTAAAACCGACACTAATTGTGCAAATCGCGAGTTTGCATCTATAAACCAGATATACGATCAAATTTATTGTTACAACTTTAAAATAAAATTATACAATGAGTATCTAAATACTTTTGATATTTATCACATGTAAATTTTATACATTGATCAGTGTTTTGTCCACTGAAACCGGCTAAGTCAATATTTTTCTGTTTGGTGCTTATCTGAACTAAAGCTCTCTTCAATTTAACTTCACCAGCGGGACTTCGAAATATCTTATTTACAGAATAAATAAAACATACTTGAAATCACATGCATAAGATACGACATAATTTCATTTGAAAAGTATAATGACAATTAAACATTTCCTATAAAAAGTTTGTATAATACTGCGTTGAGAAATGGATCACGATACTCGCATTAATTTAATCCAGTTAAATTTTTTCCTTTATGGAAGTTGCCTGAAAACTGGAATCTACTAAGAACTCAACTAATTAAATTTCATATGTTTATTTCGAGCTTATAGTTGAATATAAAACAGTGGTTAGGACCCTGAATAAATCGAAAGTAATAGATGTGTGTGTATATAACTGAATGTAAGTTATCCACGTGCACTAGCTCTCAATTATCTCAGTAATTATGATAGTACAAATTCCGATCAGGTGATTCTGCTAGTTTCATACTGTACTTAAAAGTTTCTTTAATCCAATTCTTGATTTATACATTTCAATTATAAGGTGCAGGGCATTAAACATACAAGAAAAGTTTAAGAATCAAACTGAACGAATAACGTGACAGAGCCATAGGCAAAACAACATATTCTCATTTATCACACACACACAAAATATGTTTACTAACTACTTCTTTCGTCATAAAAAAAAAAAGAAAAGTTAAGTTTCCATACCTGTCATTTTCAATAGTTATCTCCATTTTGATATCTAACCTGTTTTATTCTCGTTTTCTTCCTACACAGTTTCTTTATATGACTGATACAGAATCGTCTGAATTCGGTTTAATTAGAATTACTAAATTTGTACAAGTTGTAGTGTAATTTATTTAATGTTGCTGGATACGATATTGTTAAATAACTATTAAACTTGGCTTACACTTTATAATTTAGTTTTTTAATTTTACTCCGTTTCAAGTTTGTATTAAATGTGTTTAACAATAGTTAAACTTTCTTACAAAGTTCTGCTAACTTTCACTTATCATATCTATTAAAGTTGTTTCATATTTACAAAAACCTTGAAAAACAAACCCTACAAGAAACGCTTTAATGGTCAATAACGAATTAACACAAACCTTTACAAGAGTAAACAACTACATTCACACATACAGCACAGTTGGAATGGTACATGTACAATGTCACCTCTTTAGCTTTACCTAAAGTTACTCTCCAATATTGGTACATTTTTGCTACCAAATCAAATTATACATATTTACGATATAAACAAATGCTATTACAGGCACCAAGAGGGATTATGCATTGTTATCACACAAGGTATCAAAATCAAATGTATAGAATAATAATCATTACTACAAAATCAATGTATAACTTGGATATTTGACAAATTAAAAATGCTAGCTTTACATGTTTCAAGAAAGGATATAGCTAATAAGACCCCTATATTTGTTTTAATGATTGAGCCATAGAATGTACTGATTTCAGTATCATATATAATAGATCAGATAACTAGTCAGACTTTAGTGTAATAGAGCATTAGTGACTAAATCAAAACACTTTTTCATGTGATGTTTTGTTTGAAGTACAATTAGAAGGCTGTACATTATAAACCTTTAATCAGCTGGTTACAAACTCTTGATAAATACAAACTAACTTGTTCACCAAGTCAAAAATATACAACTCAGTTCAGTTTTAGGCAACAGATGGCAGTTGTTTTTATAAAATCAATAGATATCAGATATTGCAATCTCCTAGCAAATTTGGTTTTCTGGAATCTGAAGCAACTATACTGATACTTATCATCAGTTGTTTTGTGTTAGGAACAGGAGGGAAGTTTTGTAAAATGTTACATTTGTTACCAATTTGAACTGATTAAAAAACACACTGAGCTACCAAGAATTCTGGCTATCCTTCTTGAGAAACTTCCCTGTCTTCAATAGCTATATCATTTGAAGAGTATCATTCAACTTGAACCCAAAATTCAGCACAACTAAATACTTTGTTCCCTCAAATTAATATATATATATATATAAAGTATCTGATTCTGCATTACTGAGTAATCTTCAGTCACCTTAATGTATATATATTTTTACTATATAGGTTCATGGTCATGTGGAAACTAATGAAAAATGTTAACATGGATAGTTTAAAGCACAGAACAAGTAGCATATGATAATTCTCAAAGAAGGGGTTTTTCTCTTTAATGAGTTTTTTTGGAAGAGATATCTTTCAAGTTACTTTCAGTTTCATGTTTGTCAGAGAGGTTATGTGGACAAACTAATAAATTGCCCAGGTTCCCAGATGTTTACTAATTATATTTAATATGTAAACTAGGGATGGAAAAAAATATATTTTTAGATACAGAAAAAAAAAGGAAAGAAAAAAAGAAGTTATATTTATTTTTGTTTTTAACAGCAGCCAGAGCCTTGTGGCTTCACAGGGGTACTGGGGTTAATTTTATCTCCAGGTCGTATTGCTTCTCCACCAGATGTGGGTGGCCCCATCCGGTTTTTGATTTCTGCTGCCATTGTCATGAAGGCCTGCTCCACATTTGTGGCATTCTTTGCACTGGTTTCCAGAAAAGGAATGCCTAGCTGGTCTGCAAACTCCTGAGCAAGATGATGGAATATGTTGTAAACATATGTTAAAACAAAAAAAAATAAATACAAGCAGGTACTCAAGTAAAGCACACTATTAGAAAAATATTCTATATTAGCTTTGGACCAATACCTATAAATAAGTATTTTCTCTGCTTGATTCATTTATCATAACAGTATTGAGAAGATTTATAAAAATGTGCATTACATTAAACAATTTGTTACATCTTTACTAAAAACACCACATTTACTGGACACATGATGCATTAGTTTGTAGTGTCAAGTATCAGAGATTAAAATTGGAATATACTTTAAAAATTCTATGTACTGAAAAAATATACATATCATTGTGAGATTGAGAAAAATAAGTCTGATTTATTTTTGTCTTGTAGGTTTCTATGAAATTAAGATACTTTTACAAACCTTTGCTGTAGTGTAATCCACAACCTTTTTCGTCGTGAGATCACATTTATTCCCCACCAGAAGTTTGTTTACGTTTTCGCAGGCATACCGATCAATCTCTTGAAGCCACTGTTTAACATTATTAAAAGATTCCTAAAAGAAAGAGGAAATGGCTTGTTGAACAGTCATGCATATATAATTGTATAAACAGATGTTTGCATATAACATAATATGCATGCAACACATATCATTTGAAATGTACCCGTAATACAGGTAAAAAAAAACAGTATTTCAGTTTCTATAAGAACAAATGTGTTAGTCATACTTTTCTACCGAGATAAACATATCCATAATTTATTATATGAAGAACCACCACACAAACATTTTGTATTAGAAGTCTTTCTAGTCCCATAAAATATCACAACCATAAATGGCTTCTACTTATTCATGAGCTAGAATCAAATATGACCAGAGAAAATACTTATATTTTGATCTAAATAAAGGCACTTTATTTTTTTTACAACTTACAGGAAATGTCTGTCTTGCTTTATTCTTGTTTCTTTGAAATATGCTAAAGTACAATTTTTCTTCTAAGCAAATATATTACGACATGTGTATTTAAAGTCACATATCTATTTAATACATTTTTAAAGGCCAATCGAAGTAATGATTTGAGCATTCAAAATTTGCAGAATGTAAGATAACAAGCAACAACCTACCTGATCTGTGACATCATAAACAACAATAATTCCATGAGCTCCTCTGTAATAACTGGATGTTATAGTTCTGAATCTTTCCTGTCCTGCTGTGTCCCACTGAAACAAAAGGGTATCATGTGGAACTATAATATAATATACATACTAGTTTGTCAGGTATATATAACAGACTTATATTCTCTAGATAACACCTCTAAATTTAGTAACAGACCAAAACATAAAACTTATCTTCTTAAAAATGATCTTTTGTAAGTTTATGTTTATACAGTAAATGTTGTTTACAATTTCAACTGTTTGTAAATTAAAATAAAGGTTAATAATATATGAAAATCAATTATAGTTCCATCCTTCAGTAAATACGTAAAAGATAATAAAAAATAAGCCACAATACTTACAATTTGGAGTTTGATTGTTTTTCCATCTAATTCTATTGTTCTTATTTTCTGTTGTAATAAAGACAATAAATTACACTGAGACTTTAGTATGTAATACTAAAGGTTATGTATGTACAATTCATAAAAATAATTTAAAAGTATACTACATGATAAGAAAATACAAAATTGTGTTACTATAGTTTTTGGAACATAATATAGTTTTTTTCATAAAAAACTTATCTAGAAGTTAGGATGAATATAATATATGTAAGAAATCGAAATGTTTTTTGTTTTTTTCACAGCCAGTCCAGACCATCTTTTCCGATATGTGCTGTGAAGGATAATGCATACTTACAAGAAATATTATTTTTCGAAGGTACGTCTTATTCTAAGACATAAATAAAAACTGTCTCTCATTTTCAGTATCTTTAAACAGGACTTTTGAAATAAAATTATCAAGAAGCTAAGTCTTGTGATTTTTAAGATTTATTTACATGTACACTTAGAAATCTTTGGGAATCTAAAACTAATTACCTCTACATTATGTTCGATATTCAAAACTACAAAAAATTTTCAGTAAAACCTTCAAGTTCTCTAACATTTTGATAATGCTTACTTGCCAGCTGCAATTTCAAAGGTAGCAAGCACTGTGGCAAATGTGCAATTAGAGATTATACAGACACTCTAACATTCTCGTCATCAAATGGTTGCTTTGATTACAGTATTGCGAAAGTCTAGGTACATATTTATTGTTATAAGGCAAATTTGATTCTATGTTCGTGAAGATTACAGGCATATTATATTTGGAAAATTATGGTAGTTAAAAACTAAATATATCAGTTAGTTTCTTAAAGAATACACTTGCCAATAATAGAAGCTTAAACTTGTATTCAAGATGTATTAATTTGATGTACCAAGCTTTGGAAGTTAAAACTGGTATATGTTTTAAAAATTTATATTTACACTACTCAAACCAATTATGAGATATTCGGGGGGTTTTTCTACTGTTATTAAATAATGGCACATCAGTTCACAGAAAACAATTATCAGGCAACTGCTCATGTGATCTGATATGCACATATTTGTGGTAAAATAGAAGTAAAAGATGCAAAGTGTTATTTGTAAGAAGTATGAAAAAATGCAGAGTGTGAAGAGAACCAACCCATAGTGACGGAGAAACATGCCAAGATACCAACCAAAACATTTGGACATTTTCATACATTAGTTAGAAAACAGTTAAATTCAAGAAACCATTTGCATAGTGGCTATAAGTCTTACAAACAGTGCATAGCAAAATGTAGACGTGCATTTCATACCACCTAAGCAGAGTAGATGCATGTTAACCACCCTACAAAACAGTTGCTATATAACAATAGGAGTGTGCCCTATTACTCCAAAAAGTCATTGATTTACTCATTTTAAGCATACCAATGTACAACTTGCATTATGTTTGAGGTGATCAAGTATCTTCCTAATAAACACTTTCTGATATTTTTTTGTACTACAGAGTCTGTAGTATTAAACAAGTGTTTGTGAACATTGATTTGAGTTATTTAAATCACATGAGTGATCACTTCACTCAGAGATGCCATCAACTTTATTTAATAAAAACAGGTGGGCCTTGCAATATCTAGAATATAGAAAATTCCAACCATCCATTAACTGTTCCAAGTAGTGCATTAAAAAGGAAAAGAAAAAAGAAAGATTATTATGAGACTGAAAAAGACCAGAGCTAGCTATCATTTTGTAAAGTTTGTACATTTTTCACAATTAGATGTTTTAGATGTGAGAGCTAAGACTGTAAATTTAAATTACAATAATGAGGTTTTAAAGTCACTCAGAATCTAAAAGATTACCAAAATTCTTGGATGTTCATCTGTATGTGCAAGCATATTACTATAGCATGTGACCATTTAAAAAAATGTTATCTGCTTGAAATACAATTTATTTTTTTTTAGTCTTAAATTTTCCTTTTTACTTGTGAAATATATTTATCTGTGAACTCATTTCAGACTGTTTATAGATGCTAAGACATGTCAATCTAACAAGCTTTGTCTTTGAAAATAAAAGTTAATTTCATGATTCAAATTAAAACTATTACAAATTTTTTTATTAAAAAGACATGCATCTTTTCAACAATGTATGCAACAAGACTTGCATATTAAAACTTGAGTAATTCAGTACATGTAATTCTTACTTAATTACAGTATATAATATTACTTACAAAGTCTACCCCAATAGTGCTGATGTAACTTTCCGTATAAGTGTCATCCTGGGGAAAAAAACAACAACAAAAAAAATTATGATATTACAAATCTACACAGAAAAAAATGTTTTACCTGTATTAAAAAAAAGGCAGAGATATAGTAAAATGAAAGACAAAGTACACTTAATATGAATATGTTTTTTATTGCATTATCCCTGCTGAACACAGATTCATGCATCAACTTTAGGTTACCACATTAATTATATTTTACAACATGGGGTTAAAATTACAAGTTTTTAGTTCAATACCAGGCAAACAGTAACTGTCTGCCAGTTTTATTAAGTTACCTTAAATTCAATTTTCACAACCCATTTTTACCAAATCAGAATAATGTTGTAACTGATAATAAACTATTTACTAGGAATGTGACAAAATTACAAATATGTACATTAATCATTTCCAAAAGCAATACATTCAGAAACTAGATTTTCCACACGATTTAATAATAAAATGCAAGTGAAATAAATGAATACTAAAACCAATAAACTTAGCTTACTTAGTTTATGGGAAACTGAATAAAATATAGGTGAAGTAAACAGCAAGAATTTCTCCTTGTATAAATGGCACATTCATGCAAAAAGAATAATTTTGGTTATGAAATATCACTTTTTTCAATGCAAGTTGCACATCACAGAGAAAAATCAAAATATTTAAAAGAACAAAATTTTGACAGTTTTATTTTATAAGGGTTTTGAATATTATATCATCAAGTAAGCTTTCTGTTTTAGAAAATCACGTGTCTATGTGAAAGGTAAATGGTAACTGTTGTCCTCTTCTAGCAATGTTTACTTGTTTTTAGCATGATTATTTCATCGCTTTCACTACAAAGTTTGTATCAAATATTAATTTCAACAGATATATATTTCTTTATATGCAGTGCAGAAAACTTAGACCAAGCATTTTGATATATAATACTGACATATTTGAGATATTTTAATAGTAATAAACTCTGGAAAAACATATTACATAACATTTTATGGAAGGTCATGAACAGAATTTCTTAAGTAAGCACACTATAGATTATTGAAATATTGATAAAAAATGAAATATTAAAGGCTATCAAACAAGATCATCATGGAATTGTAATTTCAGAAATGTTATTTCAAACATATTTGTGTTTCTCACATTTCAGAATTCACTCTCCAAGCTTCCATACATGATATCTCTGAAGCAGCTACTCATGGATTGTTCTACCACCTCACATATCTTTATTGGGGAAAGACTCGAAACTTTACTATAAAGTTACATGTAATTACCTGTAGTGTATTCTAAGGTCTTGCTTCAGGGTATGTGTATAATAGTTACAAATAAGAACTGAATTTTATTATTTTAAAATAAATGTAACATTTCACCTTCAAAAGGCAAAGCCCACAAGACTAGTATATAAATGAGTTATTCTGAATTTCCATTCTATACTCTTTTATATTCTTAAATACCTTCATGATAATAAGTGGGCAATCAAAGATTTACAAGCATAATAAAGTGATTTATTTATGGTGGAACATACAACATGTTTTGATAGAACATAGACCTGTCTTCTTCAGGTATATCTTCATGAAAATTATCTAATAATGAGAGAGAAAAATACTTACTGCAAATCTCAACAATAAACATGACTTTCCTACACCAGAATCACCAATCAGCAACAGTTTGAATAGATAATCACTAAAATGATAAAATAATTGCATTTTTAAGAATAAAAAAAATTTTTTAAATTATTTAAACAGTTTTTTTTATGAGCATGATAAAATGAAAAAAGCTACATTGATGCTGTCAGCTGGGCTTCAAAAGTAGATGCTTAACAGGTAGATTCCAAGGTACAGCTAGAAGTAGCATCAGAGTTGATTCTGAAGCTTTTCAAACAAGAAAACAAACTAGTACTCAAGAAACTGTCTCCTAATAAATTTAAATTAAAAACATACCTGCACTTTTTTCCTCCTAAATAAATCAGTATCACAAAGTATACACAAATAATCAAACATATATAACTTAATGTTTTTAGTTAAATTGGAAAAACTTAACTCTTTCAGCACGGGCTCGGTCACTAGGACCGACCTCGTAACCATTTTCTGCTTGTTATAGATTTCATGCTGTAACTTTTAAATTAGTAAGCAAATATTAATGAAATTAGGCAGATTATCAGTAAACATTACAATGCTTTCATACACAAAATATCAATTTTTTTAGTAAATCTTAACAGTTGTAAAGCAATGCTTTTTTATTGCCTTTTTTTTCTTTTCACATGTTGCCTATCTATCATGCAAAGAAATATCAAAATACATTATATAATTATAATATTAAAAATACTTTTATATCAGAAAATTTTGAAATTTCACATGCGAAATCTATATAATGTTCAGATAGTTATCACATGTTTCTTAAAAAAAAACTATATTTTATCAGTTATTTTCAGTAATTAATCTCTGTACAGGTTTGGTAGATTTTACAGATCTTGCAACCACCATAAAAAATTAGGAAGTACATATAAATTATGGCTCTTTCATTCTAGAATGAACATAAATTATAACACAAAAACATAAATGTTTAGATTAAATAGCTTAAATCTCATAACATTATACATTTATATATATTTATTATTTTTATTATATTAACCTTTCAGTCATGCCTGGATAAAAATACAGAAGTTAAAAGGATGTGGCTCACGTGCACTCATGTTACCATATAATATAACATAAAGGTGACCTTTGGTCTGTGCAGAGTAACTTGTCTTGGCTGTGTTTTACTCGACTAACATTTTGTAAAATACAGTAACATTACCATTATTATACATTATATATGTATATAGATTATTG